AGAGAGAGAGAGAGAGAGAGAGAGAGAGAGAGAGAGAGAGAATAAAAGCCTCATGCCAAGTAGGGACAAGGACAAGGTAAACTGAGCCCCTTTTTGTCCTTGATTGATACAAGGACATTTATATCTCTGCTAAAACACTCAATCACCAGGTGCATATAAAATATATTTACTTGACTATTTAAATAGTCCATTATAACACTAAGTTGCATACTTCTGAATAGTGAAAAGTTAGCCGGAACCTTCAATTTGGGGGGATTTGGGGGGGGGGGTGTTGTAGTGGGTTTTTTGTTTATTTGTTGTTATTTATCTAAGAAATTTGTTTTGTTATTTCTCCACTGGAATGCAAACTATCCTTTCAGACATTTGCTTCTGTACAAAGTATAAACTGAGTTTCTATCCTCATTAAACATAGAATAAAGGTGGTTGCATACTTAAAAAAAAAGTTAGGTAGATGGAGAAATGGCTTGGTAGTTAAGGGCACTCACTCTAACAGTAGACCTGGGTTCACCCACATGGCAGCTTACAACCAACCGCCTGTGACTCCAATTCCACATAATACAAAGCTCTCTTCTGGCCCTCTCCTGCATGTGTGCCGTGCTCATAAACTAATTCAGGTGTGCACATATACACATAAAATTACCAAATCAATCTTGTTTCAAAGGTTGGAACTGTATGTCTTATTCAGTGAAGTAAAACTTAAGGAGAAAGGAAGTGGCCTCATCTATGCAGAGTGAGAATACAGCCTATGGGGAGTCCCATCGTCTTGGAAACAGACACCAGACGCTTCACTGTCTCTGAGCCAGCCAGAATCTTGCTCTTGGACTTCCTGGCCTCCATAACACGAATAGTGACTTTACACTATTTACAAACCACCCTGTTTCAGAGCAGCACGGATGACTAAGATGGACTTCAACATGTCTCTCTGAAGGACACACAGCCCATAATACCACGATGACCATAGCTCTGGTAGTTAATCAATGTCAACTTGATTGGATTTGGAATCACTAGGAGACACATCTTGAACTTACGATCCTCCTCCTTTTATTTCACAAGTGTTAGGATGACAGGCATCTGCCACTATGCCAGTTTTATATGGTATGGAGCCTCAGGCAAAGCACTCTACCAACTGAGCCACATCCCAGCCCCTCTCTCACCTCCTTTATAAGGTCACTGGCATCATTTGTGAAGGCTCTGACCTCAGAATTTACCACTTAGAGACTTTACCTCTTAATACATGGATTTTGGAGGTGACACAAATGTTCAGGTCATAATAAAGCAATGGCCCCAGTACCCGTGAACTAAGATAAGTTCATACTGGAGTAGGATGAGCCTTTCTTTCCAACTAACGGGCACCATTTTTTGCTGATGTTTGGTTATTTTGTTGTTTTGGAAAGAGCCACAATATGGCTTATTTTAATGCTTTTAATCCTAATACTTCTTAATTATACATCATAAGTGTACTCCTCGGTACTGAGTTTGGAAAGTGGCATTCTTCTCAGAAGAGACTGCTTTCGACACAAGCATAGGAGGAGGACAATATACGACCAGGAGACACAGGTAGAAGTGGCATATCCATAAGTTTCAGTGGCAACACTAGAAGCTAAGAAAGAGACCAAGAAGGAGTGTCCCACAGAACCTGCACAGGCAGCTCGCTCCTCAGATGCCTTCTTTTCCTAGGCTCACTCCCAGAACTGAGACAGTACACACTGCTGTCCTCGGCTGCTCAGTTGGTCTATGGCTTTTTATTATAGAATCCCTGGGGTCCACACCGAGGATAGGAAAAGCACCAGCTTCCCTGGGAAATGGAGTATGATCAGCAGGAAGCTATGACTGGTCATCTAAGAAAAACATCCCTAGAAATGGGGAGGACATCAGGCCACCAATGTCACATGACACAGAATGCCTTCTTGTCTGGGAGGTTGGATATGCAAATGCACTCACACAGCAGTACAGGGGTAGCTTAGAAGATGTCCACACCTTACTACAGAAATCTATTCATGTTGAGTTTGCACAGAAATTATTAAAAAGAGGCCGATGAGTGGTTTATCAGGCAACCAAAGGACCAAGCAATACCTCCTTTAAAATCTTCAAGATCCCAGGCAAAGAAAGATCTGAAGAAACACAGATGCCAGATGCTTGCCTCTCACCCTCCCCCTACATCTGCATTTAGCTGGTCTGAAATGCAGTAAACATCCATGGGTTGCAAGCATCCCTCCGGCAATCTGATGTCCAGCCAGGGTTGAGAATCACTGTTAAAGATCTAAACCTTCAGGGACAGGATCAGCCTGGGAGCCACAGTGCTTCTTAATCATGTGCTTAGCACCTAAAGTAAGCAGCACCGTGCAGATTGAGGTTGGATGTCTAGATTGCTAAGTACCAGCCCTTATGGGAAGTTCCTCCCAATAGGAACCCCTGCTCTTCAAGGGCAGAGTTTCCATAGTTAGTTTTGATAGTGATGGAGGGTCCCATGGATGCTGCCCCACACATTTGTCTGCCTGCTCTTAGGGTTATAGACCTGCGTTGCCAGTTGTCCAGTGTCTGAAAACAACTGCATTTATTGCATCCAACCATTGACCTGCGTACCGCAGGTAGACAAGCTAGGTTATTAGAACAGTCCAGACAAAGCTCCACAAATTGGGTGACTTAAAGCAACAGACATTCATTCTTTCACAATTCTGAAGGCCCGAGTACAAAATCAAGAAATGACAAAGGTGGGCTCCTCCCCCGGGGATTCTGAGGCACAGCCTGAAGCTATGCCTCTGCCCTGGGTTCTGACAGTAGTAGCTCCTTGGCATTCCAACTTCCTAACTCTAAGCTCTGTCTCTGCCATGGTATGGTCACCTTCCCTCTGAATCTGTCCCTGTGTCTCTTTTTCCCTTCATCAAAGGACACCAGTCAGACTGGATTAAGGGCCCACCCTCTTTCAGAATGACCTCATCTAAGCTAATTACATCTGCAACAACCTTACTTCTAAATATGGTCACATTCTGAGGTTCCCGGAAAGACATGTGCTTTAGGGTGACACTATGCAACCCAGGACAGTGGGTCACTGTGATGCTGTTACTCTAAAATAGAAATTTTCACTTAAACTGCAAACTGCTGGCCAGAGGGTTGGTTTTTATTATTAGGAGGAACTTTTTTAAAGAAATAGCATTCTAAATCAGAGTAATTTAACAGTGTGAGATGAACTTGGGTCACAAAAAAAAAAAAAAGAGATCCACAAAAAAAAAAAAAAACAAAAAAAAAAACAGCCCAGCCTCCTATACATACAGGTTCCAGGTCTACACAAGCCCTGAAAGGACCTAGCCTCGAAAGCTTCAGGTGAGGAACCTGAATTGTACAGTGCTCCTTGGACCATCCCAGCAAACTCCTACCTCGTCTGCGCACTGAGCATTGGGCACTGCACTGCACATGAGTCTCCTGTATTTTGCAGTGAGGAGCTGAGTTCAGTTCTTATCAGAGACAGTAAGTCTGAGCTCTCCAGAGGAACAGAGCCAGTCGTGTGTTTGAAGACACATAGAGATATACTTGACGGAACTGGTTTATGTGATGACAGAGAGGTTGACAAATTCAAAATCTTCCAAGTAGGCTGGCAGGCTAGAGACCAGGGAAGACTAGGTGCCCAGCTACAGGTGGGAGGCAGACTGTTCAGAGACTACTATGATATTCAGGGTGGAGGTTCTGTTTCCTGTTCTAGTCTGAGCTTCAACTACCTAGATGACACCCCCAGCCCACCCCCACAAACACAATGGAAGACATCAATTTGCTTTACTCAAAACATACCAATTCTGATGTCAATCTCATGCTGAAACATTTAGACACATCCTGAATAATGTTTGACTATGTGTCTGGACACCATGATCCAACCACACTGACGAACCCAGTCACCCATCACACGAACTCTCACCATTTCCAGCATTGGAAGAGACACAGTTTAAGAAGAGCAACAGGCAGGAGAGATGAAACCCTTCTTTCAATTTTATAAAGTTGGGAGTCTGGCCCTAGATAACTGCCTTGGAGGTTTCCATGGAGACACAGATCTTTAGACCCCATTGGGAATCAGTAAATCTGGGTATGACTGAGGCTTCTACGTAACAAATCAATTCCTTCTGTTATATTTAGACATTCTAAGTGTATGTACAATAATTTCATACATACATCAAGTGCAGACATACTTAGTAAACATACACAATACATTTCTGTACAAGAGCAAATAATTATCTACAAATCTCAGATGGAAACCTGCTATGTAAATACTACACAAAGGTGTGTTTGTAGGTACACTAGAAATATGTACATCCAAGTGCAAAGCAGAGTCTAGTGTCATATTAACTCTTAGCCTTTCTTTGTATCCTTGCTTGCAGTGTCTAATTCTGCACCTGGTGCAGGAAGGTAGACATAATTCATCACAGTGAACTACCACAACTGTCCAAAAGAAATAGAGAAGGAAAGACCACTTGGAGAGGCTAGTTTCAGGTGACATTTGGGCAGGACATAAAAGTGTCACTAAGCTGAGAGGGAAGGACATGAACTGAGGTGGCAGGGGTGGGGGTGGCAGAAAGCAAAGATGCAGGGTTTGGGACAGAAAGTCAGATTCTCTGGGTGACAGGGTGGAGATCTGGGTGAAGGTTGGACATTGAAGATTCCTCAGAGCTTGTCTGCATTTTGATCCCCAGCTGCCCTCAAGTTATACTGTTTGGAGCCCTAATTGTAGATGTTCAGTATAATGCAAATTGTCATAACAAGAGGGCAGATTTGGGTGATTCCAAGACAACAAGGGTTCCCTAGAATGAGGAATCCACCTAGAGATGTCCAGAGAGTCCCAGCCCCTTGAACCTCTAAAAACCCAAAGATCTCAGGTTAGAGGTGATTTCTCTCTCCCCCTTAGCGATTTCATCCCACTCATTCATCCCAACAGGAGTATCCCCACATCCTCTCTGGGGGTTCAGGGTCACATGAGCCCTAGCAGGGTGCGGTATTATCAGTATTTCAGATGAAACTTCCCCAGGTCCCCTGCTGCCTGCGAGGCCTGCAAGTCTCCCAGAGTCAGTCATCAAGGTGTTTATGAGCTAGCAGGATGCCTGGCCCATGGGAGTGCAGCTGTGTGAGAGAGCCAGAAAATTCCTCAGCCTGGCTTCGGGATTTGCTCCCTTTTCATCTTAGAAAACAAGAATCCAAGGTGTTTCTAACATGAAGCAACAGTTGCTGTTGATGTGTGAAAATAGAAACAACATATCTGTGTGAAGACAGTCCCTGTTTTCTAATACAGTGCCCCCCTGCCTTTGTTTCTTTACTTAGAGTCCAAAAGGGAGCTCTGTCACTCGTTCTTTTTTTGCACCAGTGCACATGTTCACAGAGAAATCCCTCTCCCTGGGTAGAGGGGCCTATTGCTATTAGGGTCCCCAAATCTGTGACCTCCCCCAGTAGCCAAGCCCTCTAGAACGCACCTTGCAAAGCAGGCCTTTCCCTTTTTAGAAACATCTTTTAGGTTCTTTAAAACAGGATCAAAGTTGTTGTTTAAAAAACAAACAAACAAACAAAAAACATGCTGGGTTTAAAAAAGAGCATTGTGTGGGTCAGGATTGTGGCTCAGGGGTGGAGTGGTGTTTCATGTAAGGTCCTGGGTTAATTCCCAGTATCCACAAAACAAACCGTTGTCAACGTAAGAGCAGAAGGCACAGAGCCATTAAGATTCCCTGCATCTGAAGCATATACACAGGGGTATGACGGTGATAGAAAGCACGTTTTCACTAACATTAACAATTGCAATGCATGCCCCTCCCCTCTTTATTTCTGAATATGTCACAGCCTCATTTTTCAGATGTTTGTTGTTCACTGGCTGTAAGCATGGCTGTGTGCTGGTCATGGAGGGAAAGGTCACCAGGCAGTATGTAATCTAGGTGGAGATAAGCAGGCATACCTACGCATTTAATGACAGCCTCGGTCAGTTAGTGTCTTCTGCAATCTGTGCCACTGAACTCTCCACCCACAGGGATCTAGCTCCAGTCCCCTGCTCTGTGACAAGGTCTCAGCCTCTCCAGATAGCTTGTCCTTTTTCTAAACGCCAGTTTCAAAACCCCAGGAATCCACTTCCGCGGTGTTCACGGCCTTCACTGAAGACTTAATGGTCCTGTCAGTGTTATGTCTGTCCCTTCAGCTAGGTTGAGGCTTTATTTTCTGAGACCACTGGTGGGGTGAGGGAGAGTAGGTAGGCAATTTCATTCATTTGCATTCTGTCATACAAATAGCACATGGAGAGGATCCAGCAGTCCCCAGATAACACCTAGGGCTTAGACTGAAAGATTTGCACTTGCTTTGAACCATGTACACAGTACCTGTTTAGCCCTCCATGAGTTCAGACAGAAGCATGGGCTGTCTGGAAAGTTTTAACTTCCCAGAAAGAGGCCAGTCACAGGCAAGCCAGCTCTGACGTTATCAATATCCTTTCCATAGTCCTACGTAAGCATTCTTTTAAAAATCAATGCTCATCTCAGACTGAGGTACCTAAGAGCCACATTCACGTGTGTATATCAAAGTGAGTCACAGAGGTGCAAGTGGCGTCTTCTAAGGACTGATGGAAACGTATCTGCATGTTGTCCTCAGCATCTTCACAGAGGCAGCTGTTAGGAACCACCGCCATAGCATCGTGGTGGGAGAGCCTTCACTTCCTCCCAGGCTTCAGGTTCTGAGCATCAGTGATTTTCACTGAGATGTCTGTGGTTTGTTGAAATGAATCAACCACAACACCTTTGAAGCTTCAAAATCTAGCCACCAAGATCAGAGAACTGTCATTATGGAGGGTCCCATGTCCCCCTGGGTCTCCAGAGTTTACTAACAACATATCGTGTGTGTGTGTGTGTGTGTGTGTGTGTGTGTGTGTGTGTGTGTGTGTGTATGTGTGTGTGTGTCTCCATTAACTGGAGAGGTCTTTTGGAAACCCAAGACAGCCGTGTTGAATTAGAATATAAGCAGTGCAATCCAAAAGCTTAACATTCAAAACTCCTGTTCCTGCAGGTGTATGTCATCAGTGCCTGGGGAAGGGCTTAGCACAACTGAAACCATTTCCTTTATGGTCCTGGGCCTGTTTGTGAAGCCAAGAGCAAGTCTCTTGCCCACTAGCTTGTTTTCTCAAACTAACTCCTTCAGAAAGAAGAGCAACTCCACCTCTCTTGCCTCCTGCATGTAGGGTCTCATGCTACAGTTTGCCAAGCTGTAGTTCATAACATATATGTAATTATGTAGTATATAATATATATGTAATATATAATATACTATATAACCCAAGCTTGCTTCAAACTCACAGAAATCCCCCTGCCTCAGCCTCCTGAGTACTGGAATTTCAAGTGTGTGCAACCATGCCTGGCTTTGTATGTGTTTTGAGTGGAAGGAATGTATTGAATCCTATGAATCTGGAATCTAAAAGCTCTGTGCAGACCACTGTTTCCAGGAACAGAGCCACATTTAACACATTGCTGTTCAAGCAGAATCCCTAGGGATTCAGTTTCCCTTAGCAGGAGCAAACTCAGACTAGCCCAGGCTTCTACAAGCATAGCCTAAGGAATGGCTTACAAAGATGGTGCTTCCCTGCCGTGCCCCAGTGTACCACACCTCGGGCTGAGAAGAGTGTTAAGACCATTCACTCTGCCCAGTCTTGGTGTAGATGGAATCCCATTATGGACTCGTATCCTGTGCAATAGCATACACATATTTAAATTGCTTCCTCCATTTTTTATTAGTTACCTTTATAGCACCGTAACAGAAATACTTAGCAAAATAGCTCAAGATTAATTCAGTTCAGGATTTCAGATTGTGTAATCTATCGGATCAAGGAAGATATGGAAGAGTTTGTGACAAAAGGAGAGTGTGACTAGACTCCTAACAGAGCAGTGGATTAGGAAATAGAGTCAGACTGGCTGAAACCAGGGAGGGTCCTAATTATCTAAGGCCAGCTCCCAGTAACCTACTTCCTGTAGTCAGACTACACCTCCTAAAGATTCTAGCATCCTATCAAAATAGTGCCACCAGCCAGGGAACTGAGCCAGGGGTGACAGTTCAGATTCAAAGGTAACAACAGCCTCAATAGCTGTCATTCTCTCTTCTGCTCTCTGCTCTTGAACCCTCAAATTAAATGATGATGTCCTTGGCACCTCTGGTAACTTGTATTCAGAACAAGACACATGGTTTGTTTTGTTTTGTTTTTAAACTCATGATTTAGGATTAAAACTTTCCCTAAATTCCATGGTTTCTTTCTTCTGATCTCAGCTGGGAGTAAAGGGCCAGGAGTAAGAAGGCCAGTTTCCTTACTCCATTTTGCACATTTATTGCTCATAAAAAAGTTTGTTTTTTTAAATAATTTATTTAACCTTTCTTTTATGTGCATTGGGGTGAAGATATCAGATCCCCTGGAACTAGAGTTACAAACAGTTGTGACCTGCCATGTGGATGCTGGGAATTGAACCCGGTCTTCTGGAAGAACAGTCAGTGTTCTTAACTGCTGAGACACCTCACCAGCCCCATAAAAAAACTTTTATTCTTCATAACCTTTTAAAAAATATAATCAGGTTAAAGACAAGATGTAGTACGCTTCTACAAAACTCTTGAGCATTTCAAGGCCAGTTTTTAGCCATAGCAAAAGCTGTATCTTTTGTTATTCTAGCTCAGTTTACCTTGGCCCAGCATGCCCCAGGAAAGCCAGGTGAGACAAGAGTTGCACGTGGCTCTCTCCAGTACTCATGCTGTGTCCTGCCTACAGACACAAATTATCTTCAACCTGTAGGTGACAAAGTGCACAGACTTTTAAATTCTTGGGCACTGTCAAGACTGGACAGAAGCACAGGACAGATGAGCAACAAGGGAGTAAAGAAATGGATACATTCTACGTCTTCCAAGGTCTTCCATCTTATTTGCTGGCCCCTCACTAGAAGGTACCACCAACGATGGGGGGGGTGATAGATGTTTTTATATCTTAGCATCTGGTATTTGGAAGTTTCTGGTTCAATGTATGAAAAATCATACAAGGCAGAATATATGTAAATAAATCAGTATTATACTTGGTATACCAGACATTTAATGGTTGGCAGTTATTATGGTGACTATTTCCCTGGTTGCCAGGAAATTCTCAGCTGGATTTGGTGTTCAATTACAGAAATTTTCTCATCCTGAGTTTCTTTAAAGTTTCCTGCTCTACCTCCTAAGTGAATTTGAAATTCTTTGTTCCCTTTGAATGATAATCCCAACAATTGACTTTTGTTGGCAATAGTGAGTTGTCCATCATTCATTTGTGCCAGGCACAGTGCTGTGTGATTTCTGTGTATCCCACATAAAGACTAAAACTTAGACTAGAGCCTAGATCACATTCCACAGCCCTGACTTCCAGCCACTCCTGCCTTCTAAGACTTCTGAAAGACACTGGGTACCACTTTGTACTGGGAGCTTCACATCCTCTCCCTTCTGCTCAGCCTCAGAGGACACCTGCCATGCAGTGATCTCTCTCCCATTGCACAGATCAGGGCTGTGCTCAGAAGTCATGTTGCTTAATCAAGGTATAGATAATGACATCAGAGCTGGCATGTGAACTCAAGAGCTAAACCCAGTCTCAACTTTGCACACTGTGCTTCAATCAGCTTTAAAAGATGAAATCCCCATTGGAGATTAACGTGTTACAATGTTACAAATTCACTCACTATCCTCTAAGCTCTCTTTGCCAGCTAGCCACTGCCTCCAAGGCTGAGAAGAGACAGATGGAAAAGACAGAGCTTCTGAGCTTTGGGAGCTCACAGCAGACGAAATAGAAAAAAAAAAAAAAAAAAGGATAGAAAGAAAAGCATTACTCACATAACCTGGAAATTACAAGATTGTGTGTTGCAGGAGCTAAAAAGATAATTTCAAGTAAATATATCTCATAATACAAACTAGGAAAAATAGGGCAGAGCAATTAGAACTCTTGAGTGTGCAGCCTAATGGGCTGGCGTTCGCTGCTACTGGGATGGTTCATCCTCTAATGGTAGCACATGTCTCTGTAATGTCTGTGTGCATTCTCATCTGCTGCACACACGACAAAATGCCTTGAGAGAAGACAACCTCATTGTCTTAGTACAAACTTAGCCTCAGTTCCATTAGCTAAATTGTCCCAGTGGCTTATACAGTTCATGAAAGAGAATTCACAGGTGACCCCTTGAATGTCTGCCAGGGGCTTACAAATGCAGGCCATCAAATTTGATGGGCTTGTGTTCCTAACAAATGCATGAGCAAAAGGTGGTCTTGTTTTCCTTGGAGCTGTCATCTAGGGTTTTCTTCCCAACATCTGAGCTTGGCTGACTTTGACAGCAAATTAAAATTTTGCCTGCATAATCATTACACTTTACTCCATTATTTCCCCTTTTTCCCTTTTTTTTTTTTTTTTTTTTTTTTTTTTATTCCAGGCTGGTAATGCTGTCTTCCTATGGCCACTGGAGAAACAGGCAAGGAGATAGAGAAACAATTTGCAAAGACCATCCATCTATCTAAACTTGGCAGACTGTTGCTGGTCCACCAGTTCTCTGTTCTCCATGCCAGTATTAGATCTAACTCTATAAATATCAGTCTGAAGCCTAACCTTTGAGTGGTAACTTGTCATGCAATTGTGTTTCTAGTCATCTCTCTAATGCCAAAGATCTGGAAAGTGTTCATTTCAAAGAGATCTGGACACAGGAGAGTCATATTTCCTGGAGAAGTATGTGTTTTCTGTGTGCTTGGTACTAACAATTTTCTACACAAGCTCTTTTGGTTTCAAGGGGCAGAGGCATGGTCCTACAACTCAGGAAAAGCAGGGGTTCCTCACAGGACCCAAGTCAGACAGAAATGCAACCTGAGCTAGAAGGCAGGCCTCCAGCCTCTGCCCCATGGTCGGTCAAAGTGTATGCCCTTGACTCTAACTTCTCTTCAGCTGCCACCCCAGCATTTACTAATCCCTATTCTCAACAGAGTCCACTCATTGGGCCCAGCCACTCAAAGTGCCCTGCCAGACTTTGGATCTGTTTTTTTTTTTTTTTTTTTTTTTTTTTTCCTTGAGGTAGATGCACAACTCTGATAAACTGGGGATGAGTTGAGTGCTGGGGGAGGTGGGAGTGATATACCATACATGTCTTCCTACCCAAAGGAGCGAGGCTGAGTGGGAAATGAATCTTAAAGTCTTTCTATTTCTGATACTTGAAGGCCTGTCTTGCACAGCACAGAGACAGAAGCAAAACCTCATGGCATGAAAACCAACAAAGAAACATCTAGAAACCAGATGTCATGTCAGGAACTAATAAAGAAAGTAAATTCAGGGCTGGAGAGATGGCTCAGAGGTTAAAAGCACTGACTGCTCTTCCAGAGGACCTGGGTTCAATTCCCAGCAACCACATAATGGCTCACAACCATCTGTTATGAGATCTGGTGCCCTCTTCTGGTGTGCAGACATACATGGAAGCAGAATGTTGTATACATAATAAACAAATAAGATCTTTAAAAAAAAAAAGAAAGAAAGTAAATTCAGCGGGCAAAAATTCACATATATTAGATATACTGCACCAACCACCATGCCAGTATTTTATATGCACAGTTTTACCTAAGTCTTCCAATTCCAAATTCCTGCAAGTGCCACTGCCCCAGTTTTATTTATAGCCACTAAGGTTTTCAGATATTCACACAGCCATTGAATGATGGAGTCAAGATCTGAACCCATGTGCACTTGACTTCACTATGTGCACTTTTCCACTATAAACCATGAAAAACCAGGAGGATAAATGTTGATGTCACTCTAATCTTCCTGCCAGGAAATGATAGCATAGATTTAGTTCCCTGCATACCTCTGGCTATAGCTGGACTTTGCCCAGAGTGGCATGCATGAATAAAGACCAAGAGGTGACTCTGGGACTGTTATAAAATCATTAACACAAGTCACTGGATTACAACAATGTGCGCACTTGCTCCCTGGAAAAGGACCAAGCCCTTAAAGTCACTCATCTTAACCTGTCATAGAAATGATTCTTTTAGTACAAATACAAGTTAACCCAGCAACCAACTGAACCAGCTTATTACTGTAACTCTCGTTCCTGATGTCTTCTACACTGAGCTCAAGGAAATGGAAGTGCTGACCCAATCACACTTTCTTTCAAAAGTTTATATCATCATAATATTTAATGGATCACATTAGTAAAACACTGTGTTAAGCACTGAGACTTAACTTGTTAAGACCTCAGAAGGTGCAGCCAAGCTATGAAATTAACCCAATGTCCACCAACATGTGAGGGGGTGAAGAAAATGTGGTATATATGTACCGTGGCATTTTTATTCAGTCATGGAGAAAATGAAACTGTCATTTTGATGGAAAATGGGTATAAGAGATTATCATGTTATGTGAAATAAGCCATACTCAGAAAGACAATTTTCACTCACGTGTGAGTCTTAGATTTTTAGGTAGATCCATAAAACCATTTTTATATATGCAAGGAGAGAAAACGGGGGAAGCTGGAACAAAGAGGGAGAGTATAGAGAGAGGAGGGAAAGAGAAAGTGTGTGGGGGCGAATATAATCAAAGTACAATAAATACTTCAAATACATTAAATACTGGCTGCTGTGAAAGCCAGAGTAAAGTACAATGGGTATATTCCATTAACAAATGTAAATTAAAAATCTTAATTTATTTTTTTATTATAAGGAAAAGAGACTCGGAAGAGTTGATAAGACAATGGAGCAAGAAGTCCAGCATCTGCAGGCTGGTGTTCACTGTAATAGGAGGAAATCCTACTTCTTGAGTAGCTAAGGGAAGAGATATAACTGCTCATCATTTTTTCATCCCGTTAAAAACTAATGTTATCAGATTGAGACAGAAATGTATTCCTGTTAGCCAAATACCTTTGCAGAGGCAACCTGAAAATAAGTATCAGTCTCAGAGTGTAGGTTCAGGAACAGAGTTGTCACACCTTCCTGTCTTCCTGGGAGTCTATCTTCTCTGTTCAGAGCATCTTTGGACTTCAGCTATTTCTGTATACAAAATGAGGTGTCACAGGAGCTGATGTGACTGACTGAGTTAAAATGGAGTGAGTGAGTGACTGTGTGACTGTGTGTGTGTGTGTCTGTGTGTGTGTGTGTGTACAAGAATGTTGATGACATCAGTATGCAGAAGAGCCACACCTGAACTCAAGCCAAATGACCATGACAGTGGGCAGGTGATTCCTGGTGTGGATGCTTGTCTGTCTCAAGGAGGATGGAGCATGGGAAACACCATGCACAAGGAGGCTCCTTCCTGAAATTGTTAAGCCAAAGCACCTCAACAATCAAGGCATCTGCCTCATCCACGGTTCAAACCTCATGATGCAGCCAGAACTCAGCTATGAGAGGGCTTCCAAGGAAGTCAGAGCAGGAATTACTTTTGAGCCATATGGACTTGATGCTGGGCATGAAGAGAGTTTCCAAGGTCTTGTTTTTTGATGTCATGAGAATGACTTGTTATTTTTTTGTGACAAGTGGTCTAGTTCCATTCTTACAATTTGTGCATGTATGCTAAGTATGTTACCATTTCATACAAAGAGTACCAGGTGGACAGGGAAGGTACAACTATGAAATCTCAACAACATGGCTGCCTAGATAAGACCTGAACAGCGACAACAGCCAATGTGTCAGCAAGGATGAGGAAATCTCACAAAGCCCAACCCCAGATGAAGAGCTACAGGCAATTAATGACTCATGAGACTTAGTCTTCCCCAGGGATGAGTCCCATAATTGATTATCCAGCATCAAATGGACCCCATGTATATGACCATACTACTCTGAACATGCCCAATTTCATTCAATACCCAACAGCCCTAAAAATGCTCACATACAGGCAACACTAAATAGATTCAGCAGGTTGTTATATATGTGTATAGATATATAGTTATATAATGATAACAAAGAAGAAGAGACTGTGAATTTGAGAGGGTATGGGGGTGCATAGGAGAAGTTGGAGGGAATGCTGTAAATATAGCATTTATATATGAAATTCTCAAATTTTGAGAATAAGTAATGTGTTTTTTTGTGTAAAAGCAAGGTTGGGGGCTTCTAAATAGAGCAATGCCCACAAGAATGTCCTGGGAGGAGCCTGCTATCCATCCATAGACACCACAGCTCACAGCCCATTTCACTCTCACACACATTGTCTCCATCCTCAACACAGCAACACCCACTGATTCTAATTCTGACACGGGGATGCACAACTATGCAGCAGAATATAGTTTGGGGGCTGGTGTCTTGTATTTTTGACTCCTATATTAATTAGGAAGTTACATGGAGACTTATAATATAGGAAGGGTAAGTAAGTCTCAGTAAGTAACCAAGGGCAAGTGTCTTCCACCACAACCATACGGCTGGGATCTCATTCATTTGATTCTTATGGACTTATACCTAGTTCTAGGTGTGTAGAGTAACTTAGATGTTACCAACTAAGTATTTGTCTTTGGAAATGTCTAGAGACAGGCACTGGGTCTGAGTCAGAGCACAGACATGAGGGAGATCTGCTGGTTGCTGACAGGCATGCAAGGTGCTGGAGGAAGCCATTTTGGATCATGAGAATGGTCTGTTGCAACCACTCTCCATGCAAACTTAGCATAAGTTTGGATTCACAGAACTGTTGTGGAACTTATGAAGAGAGTTCCCGCCTGCCCCACAGTCTGCCTCTCCTCTCCCGAAAATGTCTCTTTGGTTCAGTCAGCCAACATGGATGCCTCATTAGTAACTGAAGCACACACCTTGTTCAGATTCCTAACATTCTTTCTTTGTATTCCAGAATCCCATCCCAGATTCATGCTACATCTAGTCACCATGTGTCCTCAGGAGCTTCTGGTCTGTCTTGCTGTCTCAGGCCATCCCTGCTTTTTTTGTTGTTGTTTTTGTTTTTGTTTTTGTTTTGTTTGTTTGTTTTGTTTTAGGATAACAATTTTAAGAGACAGCAGTCATGGATTCTGTAAAAACTACAACAGTACCTGAAGGTTGCCAGGTGTTTTTCTAGTGTTTAGATTAGGATTGTAGGTTGAGGAAAAAGAACAAGAGTTGAAGTGTCTTCATCATCTCCTATAAAGAGCAGTGAACTTGTTGGCATTAACCTTGGCCATCTGCCTGCACAGTTTGTCAAGTTGTTCCACTGTACAGTGACCCTATTTTGATGTGAGCTCATTGGAAAGAGTGAGGGTGTGTGTACCATCTCCTCGAGGTGGGCAATACCTGCCTAAACTCCCTGGGCCTTTTTAGAACAAGAGCTTTGTATTCATTTTTTAAAAATATCTTCTCCCTCACTAAGTTTTGTGTTCCAAATAGTCAATCTGGTACTGTGTTCTGATCTTTTTTAAAAGGCTATATGTATAGTTGTTTCTTTGTATAATAAGCCATAAAGACTTGATAAGTTTCCTGTAGTCTTTTGTGGTTGTTGATGTTGTCCTCTGTTTTGGTGTTTTGATACAGGGTCTCACATAGCCCACATTGGCTTTGAACTCTGTAGCAAAGGAGAAGGTAACCTCGAACTCCTCATTCTCTGTGAGTCCACCCCCCAAGTGCTAGGATTCCAGGAGTGCACCACCATGCCCTACTTCCTGGGGTGTCTTGAATCTGCA